TCTCTGTCTCTGTCTCTGTCTCTGTCTCTGTCTCTGTCTCTGTCTCTGTCTCTGTCTCTGTCTCTGTCTCTGTCTCTGTCTCTGTCTCTGTCTCTGTCTCTGTCTCTGTCTCTGTCTCTGTCTCTGTCTCTGTCTCTGTCTCTGTCTCTGTCTCTGTCTCTGTCTCTGTCTCTGTCTCTGTCTCTGTCTCTGTCTCTGTCTCTGTCTCTGTCTCTGTCTCTGTCTCTGTCTCTGTCTCTGTCTCTGTCTCTGTCTCTGTCTCTGTCTCTGTCTCTGTCTCTGTCTCTGTCTCTGTCTCTGTCTCTGTCTCTGTCTCTGTCTCTGTCTCTGTCTCTGTCTCTGTCTCTGTCTCTGTCTCTGTCTCTGTCTCTGTCTCTGTCTCTGTCTCTGTCTCTGTCTCTGTCTCTGTCTCTGTCTCTGTCTCTGTCTCTGTCTCTGTCTCTGTCTCTGTCTCTGTCTCTGTCTCTGTCTCTGTCTCTGTCTCTGTCTCTGTCTCTGTCTCTGTCTCTGTCTCTGTCTCTGTCTCTGTCTCTGTCTCTGTCTCTGTCTCTGTCTCTGTCTCTGTCTCTGTCTCTGTCTCTGTCTCTGTCTCTGTCTCTGTCTCTGTCTCTGTCTCTGTCTCTGTCTCTGTCTCTGTCTCTGTCTCTGTCTCTGTCTCTGTCTCTGTCTCTGTCTCTGTCTCTGTCTCTGTCTCTGTCTCTGTCTCTGTCTCTGTCTCTGTCTCTGTCTCTGTCTCTGTCTCTGTCTCTGTCTCTGTCTCTGTCTCTGTCTCTGTCTCTGTCTCTGTCTCTGTCTCTGTCTCTGTCTCTGTCTCTGTCTCTGTCTCTGTCTCTGTCTCTGTCTCTGTCTCTGTCTCTGTCTCTGTCTCTGTCTCTGTCTCTGTCTCTGTCTCTGTCTCTGTCTCTGTCTCTGTCTCTGTCTCTGTCTCTGTCTCTGTCTCTGTCTCTGTCTCTGTCTCTGTCTCTGTCTCTGTCTCTGTCTCTGTCTCTGTCTCTGTCTCTGTCTCTGTCTCTGTCTCTCTGTCTCTGTCTCTGTCTCTGTCTCTGTCTCTGTCTCTGTCTCTGTCTCTGTCTCTGTCTCTGTCTCTGTCTCTGTCTCTGTCTCTGTCTCTGTCTCTGTCTCTGTCTCTGTCTCTGTCTCTGTCTCTGTCTCTGTCTCTGTCTCTGTCTCTGTCTCTGTCTCTGTCTCTGTCTCTGTCTCTGTCTCTGTCTCTGTCTCTGTCTCTGTCTCTGTCTCTGTCTCTGTCTCTGTCTCTGTCTCTGTCTCTGTCTCTGTCTCTGTCTCTGTCTCTGTCTCTGTCTCTGTCTCTGTCTCTGTCTCTGTCTCTGTCTCTGTCTCTGTCTCTGTCTCTGTCTCTGTCTCTGTCTCTGTCTCTGTCTCTGTCTCTGTCTCTGTCTCTCTGTCTCTGTCTCTGTCTCTGTCTCTGTCTCTGTCTCTGTCTCTGTCTCTGTCTCTGTCTCTGTCTCTGTCTCTGTCTCTGTCTCTTACTCCCTGCCTCTCCGTATCCTGCTGTCTCTGTTTCTGTCACTGTCTTTGTCACTCTTTTCTATCTGTCTCTTGCTCTGTTTCTCTCTCTGTCTCTTTGTCTCTCTCTCTGTTTGTCTGTCTGTCTGTCTGTCTTTCTGTCTGTCTCTGTCTGTCTCTCTCTCTCTCTCTCATTCTCTCTCTCTCTCTCTCTCTCTCTCTCTCTCTCTCCTTCTATGCCTCTCCATCTCTCTCTGTCCGTCTGTCTATCTGTCCGTCCCGTCCGTCCGTCCGTCTGCCTGTATTTCTCTCTCATTCTCTCTTCATCTCCATTCTCTCTCTCTCGCTATCTCTTTCTGTCAACTTCTGTCTATCCCTCTATCTCTCCGTTCTCTGTCTGTCTGTCTGTCTCTCTTTCTCTTGCTCTTTCCCTTTCTCTTCTTTTCTCTCTCTCTATCACTGTTCGACTCCGTTTGTCTCTATGTCTCTGTCAGTCTCTGTCTGTCTCCGTATATTTCTCTTTCTCTCTCTGTGTCTACCTTTCGCTGAATTTCTTTTTTTTTTGGTGTTAATGCATAGGCATTGGTTAGTAAATTGCGCCATTTGGCTACAAGTATTAGCAAGAGTCCCTAACCCAAAGGTAAGTAACTGTTCTCTCTTTTCTAAGCGTCAGCTGTTGAGCGCGATGTCTGACAATGTTCTGTCTGTCTGCCTGTTGTCAGCTTGGCTCTCTGCTTGCCTACCTGTTGGTCTCTCCGCCTGACTGACTTATTTGTTTGACTGACTGACTCTGTCTCTCTATGTTTCTGTTTTCTGTGTTTGTCTCTGTCAATGTCTATGTCTACGTCTCAATCGCTGTCTGTCTGTCTGACTCTCTCTCTCTCTCCTACTCCCACTCTCTCGCTGTCTGTCTGTCTCTGTCTCTTACTCCCCCACTCCCCCTCTCCGTATCCTGCTGTCTCTGGGCATTGGTTAGCGAATTGGACATTTGGCTACAAGTATTAGCAAGAGTCCGTAGCCCAAAGTAAGTAACTGTTCTCTCTTTTCTAAGGGTCAGCTGTTGAGTGTGATAGCTGACAATGTTCTGTCTGTCTATGTGCCTGTTGTCAGCTTGTCTCTCTGCTTGCCTGACTTTTTGTCTGCCCGTCTGTTTGACTTATTGATTGACTGACTGACTCTGTCTATCTATTTGTCTGTTTCTGTGTTTGTCTCTGTCTCTGTCTATGTCTATGTTTCAATTGCTGTCTGTCTATCTGACTCTCTCTCCCTCTCCTACTCTCTCTCTCTCTCTCTCTCTCTCTCTCTCTCTCTCTCTCTCTCTCTCTCTCTCTCTCTCTCTCTCTCTCTCTCTCTCTCTCTCTCTCTCTCTCTCTCTCTCTCTCTCTCTCTCTCTCTCTCTCTTACTCTCTCTCTCTCCACCTGTCTAGCCGTCTGTCCTCCCATCTATTGCCATCCGCCTGTCTTCATTGTCCTTGTCCCTGTCCTTTTATCCGTCTGTTTATCCACCGCTCTTTGTCTGGCCAAAGAATACAGAATGAGGTTTGGCTTTCAACTGGAGTTTTGAACTGTGCTACCTCCAGCAGGGACATACCCAAAGGGGTCTGGAGGGTGTTTTTTTTTTCAGCCTCCTTTTCATGCACTGTACATGTCCAATATATGCCTGAAGAGCCAGCGGCCCAGTGCTACCTAGGGGCCCCCACCCCCCCTCCTCCTCCTCTCTCACTGCTCAGGCAGAATAATGTTAACGTCAAACACGAATTGTTTCGCCTTATGATAGTTTAGCGTGAAGGTCACGCTGCAAGCCAAACACCGTTCCACCTTCTTGGTAAAGAATTTATACCCATTGTTGTTCTCAGCACTGCATTGACATAGAAAAAACACTTAGCTTTGTCTTTGTTTGCACTCTTCCCCTATCTTTCTACAGTTCTATTGACTGCTTATTGAATGTAACACCAAGCAAGGTTTCCAGATGGCAGGTAAGAAAAGTTCAAGTTGGGAGAATGTAAAATCAATCTGCCTCCCCACATTCAGGCATTACATCATCGTTCCCATCGGTTTATTCATCTGTCCTTCCGGCCGCCTGTTTAATCATCCCTCCAACGCTCCTGCCCTTCATGCCATCATCCCTCCATCTCATGCTATTATGTCCTCACTCACTCACTCACTCCATCTATCTCTCCAATAATCCAGCTATAAACCCATCCATCCACCTACTAATCTAACAAACCACCCACCCATCCATCCATCCGTTCATCCACCCATCAATCCATCTATCTATCCACCCACCCATCTGTCTACCCATCCGCCCATCCGGCCATCCATCCATCCATGCATCCATCAATCCATTCATCTATTCATCCACCCTTCAATCCATCTATCCATCCACCCATCCCTCCAACTTTCCATCCACCCATCCCTCCATCCATCCCCCCATCCACTAGTCCGCCCATCTATCCATCCACACATCCCTCCAACTACCCATCCCTCCATCCACTAGTCCGCCCATCTATCCATCCATCCCTCCATCCATCCATCCATCCACTAGTCCGCCCATCTATCCATCCATCCCTCCCTCCATCCCTTCATACACCCATGCATTCATCCATGGAGGTACATTGTATCCCTCTATCTATTCGTCGCGATAGCCAGTAATCTATTCATCCAGCCAGTAACCTAGCCAGCCCTGAAGCCAGAGACCCAGCCCTCCAACCATCCAGTCATCTGTCAGTCAGACTTCCCACTCTCTCGCTTGTCCGTAAATACATCCACTACCTGTCGGCAAGCCTGTCAGTCTGCCAATATATCTACAGTAAAACCTGTGACTAACAACCACCCCTTGGTGCCAGAGATAGCGGTCTTTAGTGGCAGGTGGTCCTTAGTTAGAGGTTTGCACCGCACAACCATAATTAATATGAATGTGAGACCGTCCGTGCCTGGCGAAGTGGTCTGTAGTACAAGGCTGGTCGCTAGTCACGACATTAGGTTGCAAGTGAAGAGCTAAGATGCAGAACCTGATACGGGCCAATCTTGTGTAAATCATATTTTCAGCTTAGTGTCATTAACAGGTCTCGAGGCAGCACCAGGAAAAACGTCACACTCCAATACTTACTAGAACCATTTCAAAATAGGAACTCAAGTATGGCTTAGCCCAGGCCCACGGGTACACACCCAGGCCTGCGGGCACACCTCTGCCTATGCACACTCGCAGGTGCTTGCGCGCACACACACACACATTCATGTGCACAAACATACATGAAGACACTCCCACGCACCTGATTGTGCTTTCAGCCACTCACAGCACTATGTCACTATTGAGCGTGTGCCGGGGCTAAATATGCCTTGCTGCCCAAAGCACACATGTTACATACAAACCCCACATAAAATGAATCCTATTTTGGCCACTATTCGAAAAGTGATGAAATAGATGTAGCGGGTTGTCCAGCTCTTCAAGTTCCCATTGCAAATACACTTATGGTGATTTTTGTGCTTGTGAACCTGACACATTTTTCGGTGATTTTTGGTCTTGTTCTCTGTAGGCAACCCATACAAAACAACGGAGTTTGTCTCCAAAATTCACGTGTGGTTACAAGATGTTGACCCTGTTCGGCTTCGTCGTCTAGTTCAGAAAGAAGGACTAATCAGCTTTGACCAACTGGAACGTTTGAGGAAGATACAAGACCAAAAGGGCACAGCTGAACACAATGCACAATTGATTTCAATACTTTGTCCTGGAGAAACTAAATCCTATCAAGTCTTATGTTCGGTGATCCACCAAATGGGCTACATTGACCGACACTTGGAGATGCTTCGTATTGTGGCTAATCCAGAGCAAGGTGATACTTGATGCTGTTTTGATTAGTGTAGTGAACGTTCTGTAAATGATCAGCAGTCTGTGCATGTTACCCTGTGTATGCCTTATACCTGTGTTCTGCACACAATGCAAGCTCTATCAACTAACAGCACAGAAGAAGATTTCCATTGCTGGTCTCTTTAGCCTTGTAGTGTATTTCCGTTCTGGTTAGGTAATGGGTGGCCAGCAGATCATTCACAAAGTATAAAAAGGCTAGGGTATGGCCACACCAATCAAGAAACTGCTTCTGCCAGTCCTGTGGTATCGGATTAGACATTGGTATCGGTGAGTCGTGGCGGTGGCAGTCAACTCTATGACGCTTAGGAATAGAATAATTATTATGATGTCATGACTGTGGGTTTTTCTATTTTCCTTCTTTGAATATATTTTGTCCCGTGACCAGAATTGCTGTCCTGTGTTGGGCAACCAGAGTCAGCCAACGCCATTACAACCAGAGCAGACTCATCTGTAACCATGCCAGCTGAAGACTGCACGACAGCAGCAGCTGCATCAGCAGGATATGCAGCGTATCAATCCACTCCAGGGGCAGCAAGTCCATCGCCACTTGAACAGCAAGTAGCACCACTGTGTCCACCGATGAAAAGCAGAACTGCAGCAGGAAGACCAGGAGCAGAAGGAGAAGCAGCGGGAGCAGCAGCAGCAGCTACAGGGGCAATGGCAGGAGCAGCAGGGGCAATGGCAGGAGCAGCAACAGCAGCAGCAGCAGCAGTGGCAATGGCAGGAGTAGCAGAAGCAGACGCAGTAGCTTCGTCAGCAACTGTATTAACCCCTCAAGCGTCACTACAGGCAAGGCTTCCAATTGGAACAGCAACGTTAGAACGTGTGCGTGGAGCAACAGCAGAGTCAGAACTAGGAGCAACAGCCGCAGTATCAGCTGTACCAGCTCTTCATCATTGCAATTATCCAGGTGAGTTTTGCTTGCATTATAGTTGACATTCGAAGGGGGCGTGACAGGAAACAACGTAAGGAGCTAAGGGAAGTTGCGGGGATGGTTATGATCGCAAAGGACTCCATCGACGATCAACGCTAGGAACAAGAATGCCACCGTACTACCAGACACGGTGTATTATTGACTTCCTCCGCATCATTAAAATTGTCGCTTCGCAGATCGCATTATTTGTGACTTGGCTTGTCTTAGTCAGACTGTCAGGCTCGCTGTTTTCTGTGTTGGAACATTGGTGCGACCCTTCCGGAGCAATATCTACTTGTTACTGAAGCCGTGGTGGTGTTCTCGGACTTTGTCGGAGCTCTCTTTCGCCCCAAGCAAATTCATCGTGCTCCGCACTATTCCACCCCAGAGCGCATATCGTTTTTCTAGAGTTTGTGCCGTGCCACATCGTTCGCGTGGGCATTTATCAAGACTGCAAGCTTGGGCATAAGAATCCTGGTATCTCTCCTGAATACGAAATGCTGAAGTTGACGATGGCAAGAACAAAATGTTCTCGGATTCCTAAAATGCGCTATTTGTGGCGCATGTTGATGCGAAGGTAGCAGGTCTGAAAACACCAACAAAATCAGCGAAGCGTTTGCCAAGGAAACAAGGTACGGAACTACATACCCTATCCCGCTGGAAGGTCGTTACAGTGTACTTGAAAAATGCTAGCTTGCCTTCATTGCCTGCCACCTGGAGGCATGGATCGTTTGAAAACGAAGTTTCTTGACCTGAATTTGAACGCGCATCTTGTTCAGCGTATTGTTGAGTGCTGAAGGGTCTGCCTGAAACTCTGATGAAGACGTCGACTTTATCTGCAAGTGCAGCAAAGCGGGAGGCCACAGACTAAAGCTTGGTCCGTCGACAATGATCTGCCTCAATTTCTAGCTGATTTGTTTGGCCTCCGAGTGGACAAAATAAATTCGAAAAATCGCTATGGTAAGCGACAATTTTAATGACGCGGAAGAAGTATGTCTAATTAGGGATAGTCCAGGAGTGTGTCAGATGACGTCATCAATCAATTCCTATGGTTACCATTTGAATAATGAAAAACAAAAATTTAAAAAGCATTGAGTCAACTGATCATGGGCCACAGCTTTATACCTCGTGATGAGTTAGGTTGGCTATAGCAATAGCTGCTGCATGTCATACTGTACGGATAGTAAGACTGTCTACAGGTCACCCCAGCCATCCATACAGTTTCTACGTCCTGTCTCGTTAGATTTATGGTGAATGTGAAATAGACTTGAAAACATTGGTATGTACTGAAGTGTCATGGCACCAGCCATTCACCATGGAAACGTTCTAGAATAAAATCAATGGAATTTGATGTTTGAGTGTTTGCACGCTTATACAAATGAAGCAACCTGAAATCACATAATCGGTTTGTGGATGCGGACATGTCTGTGTGTTGGTGTACTTGTGGCAGGTGCACAACCACCTCTTACTCTGCAGCCCGGTGCAGCCTTAGCTTGCTCTTCCACTGGTAGATCACCATCATCAATGTCAAGTCCTTCTACCACGGCAGAGACTACATTTGGTCTTAGCCAGACCTGTATGAGTGCATCCACCCAAGCCACTACAACACATCCCATTGACAGCTCAGCTAACACTAGCACTGGCAGGTGTGCTGCTGTTGGTAATGCTGCTGGGAGAGGAACTGCATTGCAGCAGAGTACGCAGCAACAAGCATCAATCCACCTTGAACACAAGGCAAAGCTGGCAGCAGCTGCAGCAGTAAGACAAGCTTCTTCACTGTCTCTCGAGCTGCAAGCCAAGATGGCACTACTAAGCAATGTTGGTAGAGCATTCAATGAGGAAATGTCCAGGCATATTGACTATGTTTCTGCTCCAAGTATGGCTCCAACCAGTCCAGGTAAGGGGTATGTCCTTGGAAGCTTGTATACCAGTGATCTACAATGTGCATGTGCCAGTGGAAGTCATTGAACATGAAGCGGTTACTGTATGAAACATCATTTTGCACGAGTTCAAACTTTGTATGTGGATCACGTTTTGAAAGAGGCTGTTGGATGGTTGCAGCAGAATTTCCATTTAAGCCACCTGTGTCATTTAGATACACTCACATCTCTCTTATCCGGACAGTGTGGGACCGGACCATGCACTACCGATAATTTGGAAATATTCATAACTATGAATCACATACATTTTGAAGTGCCCCAAGATCTTAGGTGTGACGTCACTATTTCAACTTTTTATTAATTATTTTTTTAGTGTTTATTTGAATTGGGATAGCTCAACAGTACAGGAGTACAACTACAAAGAATACCGAATAGAAGGCCCCGAGAACGGGAAAACCAAAAAAAAAAATTCCAAACAAGAGCCGATTTACTTGAAAAGTACAGAAAGCCACATATAGATCTATAGCGATTGATACTCATGTTATGAGTTGTTGAGCCGCGAGTAGCTCGGGTAGACGTACAGATGGGAAAGAGGGACTGCAAGCAAAACAGCCAGCTTAATACAGTGTTAGGTCCAACAGGTCCAACAGGAGAACAACGTAGCGAGATTCGAGTTTGTTATCGAGAATCAATGAGTCGAGCATCAATGAATCGGGGGCGAGTGAGCAAGAGACAACGCAATATAAAGGGCCTGGGCAGCTATGGCAAACATGGATGCGCAAGTAGCTACCCAGGCCAAACAAATATGCATGAACTAATGAATTTTATGAATTAATACATTGTGGTTGATAAATATGGTGGTAAAGACACACCTGGCAATATGGCGGTAAACACACGCCTGCCCAGACATGCTCTCTAGGCTGCAAATTTCTGGCACAGAGCTCTCCTTCTCACCACCACCACCATCAGTTCGCGCCTGGCGCCTGGTCGATGCATGGCTGGCGGTATCCGGCATAGCAGGCTGGTACATCAAGTAGCGCATGGCACATAGGTGATGACACAGCAACGACATAGCTCGATTGCGACATACGTTTCGTCCCGCCAGGTGTGTCTTTACCACCATATTTATCAACCATAAGTACAGCTGCAGTGGTGTCTTCAATTTCATTCTCCCGAGTCAAGCTCCGTATGAAGACATCCAAGAAGAAGATTGCCTTAGATTCCAGCGGGGACAAAACGTACGTCGCAATCGAGCTATGTCGTTGCTGTGTCATCACCTATGTGCCATGCGCTACTTGATGTACCAGCCTGCTATGCCGGATACCGCCAGCCATGCATCGACCAGGCGCCAGGCGCGAAGTGATGGTGGTGGTGGTGAGAAGGAGAGCTCTGTGCCACAACTTTGCAGCCTAGAGAGCGTGTGTGGGCAGGCGTGTGTTTACCGCCATATTGCCAGGTGTGTCTTTACCACCATATTTATCAACCATTAGTACAGCTGCAGTGGTGTCTTCAATTTCATTCTCCCTAATACATTGTGGGCCTAACATACCACCCCTCGATAAAAAATCCCGCGTCCTCGCGGAGAAAAGAAAAGAGAACGACATCTTTAAAAAAGTTTTAAAAAACAGTAGGAAATCCAATCAAAAAATGTAATGTAATGTAACCTGATCATAAATGTAATCGACATTTAAGGCATGCATATGATGTTGTAAATCTTGAGGCGAGGTGATCTAAGAAGAACGACAAGGACAACAACGAGGAAACGACAGGCACGCCGGAAGACAACAACTTCCGAAGCGCCTGCCCGCACACGCAACACCAAGGAGAAAAGGACAACGACAAAGAAACGACAGGCACTCCGGAAGACAACAACTTCCGAAGCGCCTGTCCGCACACTCAACACGTTCACACATATACTCAAAACAACAAGGATGGCACTATACAAGAACAGGCGAAAACCAGGCGAAAACCGTCGAGATGCGAAGAATCGAGTAAGAACAGGTGAAAACCAGGCGAGAACCGTCGAGGTGCGAAGAATCGAGTAATCCTTCATTAACAAGACAAATCCTCAGTTGCACACTCGCTCTGAAAGAGTGGGCGTGCTAGCAACATCATCGGAACAAATGGACCAAGACACAAAAATACGCACACACAAATGATATAATCCGCAAGTTCAAAAAAGGATAGAAAGAAGCACACACACAAGAAACAACAACGCACACATAACCTGGCACGGACGATGGACACAAATCGGCACGAAAAACGACTAAGACTACCTTTTTCAAGTAATCAGGACAAAACAATTAGGACAAGGACAAGGACATCACAAGACGAACCAACGGTTGACGCGGTCATATATAGGGCCATGACGAGGGAACACACGAGGACGAGGATTGAGTGGCGGGGTTCGATAGTGGTGGTATGGTGTGTGGGGTGGCATGGTTGGTACGTGAGGTCGGTGAGGTGGTAAGATGTCGGCGTCGTAGTAGCGGTGTGTCGGTCGTGGTTGTGGTTGTGGGCGCGGGCAGGGTCGTAGTTGATGTTGGATGTGTCGCGATGGTCGGTACGTACGAACGCTCAGTTGTTGTCGCATGGCTGTCAGTAGGTTGTTGATCGAAGGCGTTGGCGGTGGTGTGGGTGCCGGTTCCTGGCGTCTAGCGCCATCGAGGCACGCCGGCCAGATCAACGGCGGCGCCGTCGCTTGGGGCGAAGCCGGTGCCGACGGTGGCCAGGGCACCGGAGATGGCGTGTCCGTGCGGGCAAACCAGCTCCGGCCCCGGACTGGCGACCCCCACGACGATGGATTCCATGCCGGGGATGGTGGGCGCGGCGGCGTTTGCTGTAAGCGGTCAGCGCCTGGCAGAGGCGGAGGCGTTCCTGGCGGGGAATCCGGCGGAAACGGAATCCGCAACGCCGCCACCAGGTCCGCGAGCACCGGTGAACCCTCGGCCATGGTACTAACAGTGGAAAATGAACACAAGGAACAAGAATACTGATCGATATTGGAAAGAGGAAACATTGACGTGTTTCTGATACTGCTAAAATGTCTAAGTTATGGACCCGGACAAGCTTGGACAACACAAAAAGCTTACTACAAATATTTATATGACCAATAGATAAAGAAGAATATGTAATGCAATGAGGGGAAGGGTGTGATGAACTTGCTTGGGTCACAAAGGGCTGGGCAAGAGGATTTAAATTTGATCTGACTTCACTCATTGCGCTGCTGCTGAGTTTGCAATGCTGTCTGACTTGAAACGCCACTCCCTTGCACGGATAGTGCCAGGCCAGAAGTCCTCTTGGAGAACAGCATCCTTATGCTAAATGTGTACCACCACATGTGCGAAAGAAAGGCCAAAATACCTGCTTTCGGAAACGGAGCATTTGATGACACGTATTTCTTTGTTTCTGCACCACCTTGCGATGGATTGGGAGGAGCAACCGCTTTGGACATTTCCAAGGTATAATGCAAAACCTCGGACTCTTGCAGCTTCGGCTAGCCTGTCTGCTGGCTTGGGCTTGTCTTCGTAATAGGATGTGAGGTTGGTGGTGATTGGACCATAACCGTTGCACGCGGTGTTTGAACTTGAACTTTTGCGAGCATGCCGAGGTCCTGGCATGCTGGCCGCGGTACTGTACGACATGGTTGTTGGTGTGTTAGATTCGGTGGGCGTACTCGTAGGGTCCTCTCTAGAGGCGTGTGCGTCATGTGTACGCATGCTCTCAGCTGAAGCTGTAAAGGTAGGGCTAGGGACCATGTGGGATTTGTCAAGTTTGCTCCCTTCCTGATACACACTTTGCAAACAACGATTTGTTGAAGTCCTTCAACCGTACAACTTCTGCCTGAAGGGTCTTCACTTGAATCTCTAGATCAGAAATGGCTGACAATTTCTTCGACAAACATTGTATCTCGAACATAATTTTACCTAACTCCGAGCTTGCCGGAGATGAACTGGTGGACTGACCTGATAGATATGCATCACCGACACCATTTCTTCTCAGCAATGCCACCAGCTGGGGGCGTTTTAACCTGCTGTACCTTGATATGCCGTGCGTTTTCGCCAGTTCCTTCAGCTCTTCCAAGGAAAGCACAGCCAAGTCAACCGTTGCTACGGTAGCCCTGTCACAACCAGTACTATAGCTGCCGACTTCGTCCCAGTTACCTACACAAGTCCTGACGGGTTCGGGCGGAGCACTAAAATTTGCCAACTTAATGTTAGCAAAAGAGTAGTGATATTTCTACTAAAATCACCCACAGGGTTCTCAGCAGACCAATGTGCCCATAATTTAGAGGTCCTTGTAAAAGAGGGAGAGGGAGACAGAGACAGAGAGACAGAGAGACAGAGAGACAGAGACAGAGAAAGAGAGAGACAGAACAAGAGAAAGATATGAGGGCATCGAGCACTGTCCCCACAGTGGAAGTATTCTTGTGTGTGACTTTACTCATATACATTCTCTCTAACTTTAGTTGCCATAACTGGTGACCTGAATTCACAGAACATCAGTAGAGAAGATTTCACACTTTGTGCACAAGTGACTGTTCCAATTTGACTGCTCTAATTTGCCCTGCTGTATGTTTCAGATTCCCAGGCCTCTCTGCTGCAGAAGTCTCAGTTCCTCGTGAACAGCCCCGAAATGTCTGAAGGTGACTCAGGGTTGTCCGGCTCTGCTGCTAGCTCAGACACCGAAGGTAACGTATGTAGGGCATGCCTTACATGGGCATTTAGGACATGTTGCGTTCTGCAAATCCGTGGGCCAGGGATCCGGTTTCGCAGTCTTTGGACCTGTTTGATTGTTAGAATCCGGATCCAGGTGGCATGGATTCGGATCTGGTCAACCCCCCCCCCCCCCAAAGAAGGATTGGAGTCAACGGATCCATTCTTGCTCTGAACCCAAACTTGAACCAGGTGAATATTGATATCAATTAGCCATTGTACGATATCAGCCTTCTTTGACGAGAGTGTTTTATTCGATACTGCTGTTTGAAGGAACTGAGTACCAACGGAAGTGTCACATTAAAACCAGGTGATGTCTGACTGGAACCAAGGCTGACCAGAAGCTAATCATACGCTGGTATATCACGGCTTAGCTTCGCCTTGTGTTACCCAGAATACACCTTGATGCTAAATTCTTGGATCAGGAATATTTTGATTCCCAATATTGTGTATTGGCTACTCAGGCTTGCAATAAATTAACGGCGAATGTATGTTGTGCTTTCTTCCGTATCAATTCCTCAACTATGTGTATGACCAGAATGGACAGAAGATGATCTGCGCAATGCTCGAGTCACGGTTTTTATGGACAGCAAATTCAGGACATTTGCTGACTGTGATGGAATTATCTTGGACAGTTTATCTAAGCAGCACTTCAATGAGACTAATATCACTATCAAATCTAAGAGCAGAAGAAGTGATCCTGCACTCACACGTGTTGTAGGAAAAGGTTTGTAATATCCTGTTCTCTAAATTTGTCATGCTTAAGGAGGCTCCAACCCTTTGGGGGTGATTTTTTTTCTTCATAAACCCCCACCTTTTTGTGGATGAGTGTGCTCTATATCATCCCATGTTACTCCACAAAAAAATTCAGGGGGTGTTTCCGCGGAGATAAGGCTGTTTGAGGTGTATTTCTAGGGGTGGGTGTATTTATCAATTTCGGCCTAAATTTGCTTGTTTTTGGGTCATATTTCAGATTTACCAGTTGCCTGGCTTCTCTTTGTGATTGCAAGTCCTTTCACACATCACAGTGAAGCATTTGAGCAAGAAAATCTGGCAATCAGCATTGACTACTCAGAAAAATAGTAATTTTGGTACAAAAATGAACTTCGCAGAAATGCCCGTCCGCAAAGTACAATTGGGTGCACAGCTTCATAATTTCTTCATGGACATGCCCTTTTTATTTTATTTTTGGGATCCTCATACTTCATAGAAACTAGAAATATATAATTTTAGGGGGGTTACTGTGCATTTTAGACATCCAAAAATAAAAATAGGACAGAAAATTGGCCGATTTTCCACCATTCTTGGAATTGCTATTTTTCAGGTAAGGTGATCATTCTATGCATTCCATGTGGTATTACTCCAATTTTTTGTGTCAAAAGCATTGAATGGTCCCCCAGATTGTTATAGTACACATGGAGACTAGATGAGGCCATGGTTCCTCGGCTTTTTAGCCCTTGATCTGGATATCGGCATGATCCATGCACAACGTTATTCATGATCCAGGCCGAGGCCTACTGACCCTGAACGCAGTTCAGACCAGCTTTGCATCACAACTCTTGCAATAGTTCACTCCTAGTATTTCTCATAAAGCAACAGGCAAAGAGCTTGAGGAGGATAACAATTATTATATTCTGGGTCAATAACTTCACAGTTTCATGTTTGTAGTACATGTACAATGTAGATGCAGGTTCAACTCAATATTGGCAATGAACGACTGCAAGTAATTGTAGCACCCATTAGGTGTAACCATAACACTATTCCCAATAACGTGGAACAACCACAAGTGTATGTGGGTGCATGCGCATTGCCCACATTGATACATACATGTACGCTTACATGCACATACTCACACTCACAAGCAAGTACCCCTTGCACACACAAATACATGTACGTCATATACGCACACCCGCAATAGCATACACCCACATGTAAAATGCATGCTCTTGAGCTTAGTTACCATATTCTGCTGTCCATGCACTTGTGCACGTGTGCGCGCGCGCACACACACAACATGCACTGCGCGCGCGCGCGCGCACACACACACAACATGTAGGCTCACACGCGTGCCTGCGTATGTGCATGCACATGGTGCTTATGGGTACAGGTGCATGCATTCATCATAATAGAACTGGTGCGAGTGGTGTAGGAATATTTTCAAATCACTGGTGCTGTACAACACAACATTTACAAAATACTTCACACTCTGACAATAGAGAATAGTACTGCAAAACAATATACTAGTGCTGCATTTTATGCACATTACATTATTCAAGTGGACTCAGGTGATGACTTACTGCTGGCGACGTTGGCAGCTGACAGGTCACAGCTTTCGTAAATAGCCCAAGTCACTGAGCAGTAGCTCACCAACGATTTACCACTCACTCAATACTGCAATGTTTTCAGCGTAGCAATATATTTCGCCACTTGAGAATTAGAAGTGGATCCACTTACCAGAGTCTGTGCACCCACTTCAGTCTCTCTCTCCAAAACGCGCTTACAGTAGGTTTTGGTCCCTGGTGTTACACAGCCATCGAGACGCTTGGCTCCGTTCTCCTTGGTCATTTTTTCGTCAAGCAAAAATATTCAGGATCTCGAGAAATCGAGCTGTGAAGTCAACTTCTTGCTCACACCAGCGATGCTTTCGAAAACATGCCCTGCTCTACCCACTGACACAACGGAAGAGAGAACAACAGGAACCTCGATGGGGCCCAGGGAAGACTCAGGTGAAGAATGAAACAATATTCTCTGATATGACTGTCGATCGCGAAGTTCAAATTTTAGTAAGTTGAGATGGGAATTTCCCAACTTTTCGCACTTATCGGCAAAAACAAGACTTTTCCCTGCAAAAAACAGAGCGCCAGACCGGCTGCGCAGCGCAGAAGGTTGGAGCCTCCTTAATTGAATGTGTACAGCTAAGAAGGACAAAATTCTACTACTGTACTCAGCCACAGACTTTTAGACCAATACTAGTGTCTGCTCCAGGATGATTTCAAACCAACCATGTGCATGTGTACCTGATGTTTAAGTATGGCTACTGCATGTGCACTCATCGATGCATGGCTGGTGATAGTAGATATACAAATCATAATCATCTTGTACATCAGCCAGGCATCTGCACAGAGAGAACACTGCATGATGGTGCTTTGAAATCACTATGTACATCAAGTGCAGTCGACGGGAAAACACAAATTCAAGCATTGCAAGCAGTTGTTGTATCAATGCAATCAGTACCCGGACTCAGAAGTTACTAAAAGCGGTGCAGACCACATATAAATGTAGCCATCTTCACGATGAGGTCAGCGCCACCCATGTGCCAACCAGAATTGCTGCTGGCTTAGGTGTCTGGGTGGGCATGTGTGTGTGCAGACCTACATTACTCACAATGCATGTCTATATGGGTGTGATGTTTGTATGTGAGCATGTGTCTGTTTGTGTGTGTATGTGTGTGAGCATGTGTCTGTTTGTGTGTGTGTATGTGAGCATGTGTCTGTTTGTGTGTGTGTGTGAGCATGTGTCTGTTTGTGTGATGTGTGTATGTGAGCATGTGTCTGTTTGTGTGTGTATGTGAGCATGTGTCTGTTTGTGTGTGTATGTGAGCATGTGTCTGTTTGTGTGTGTGCGGCCATGCATATCAATCTACATGTGTCCTGCAGGAGGAGATATAAGGACATTGGTCAAAATCATCATCAACGGAGAACCTGACGACTACACTAAACAAAGGATCCGAAGTGAAGTGATTGAGGACCTGGAGCGCCTTACCTTCTCCAAGGATAAAATTCAGGTCATCTACACAGGTTCCTGGGATTCCATCCAGGTTGTACTGCTGCTACCAATGAGGACACTGGGTCATCTACTCTACCTTGCTGTACACTATCCTGGACTGCTGCGAGGCCTGGATATACTTCAAATCATTGACATCTCCTCTTTGACCATAATTGACTTTCGAGAGATAACAGGTATTTTGCTATTATGTGTTGTGTGTCTTTCCATATGTGTGTGTGTGTGTATGTGTAGGTATGTGTTTGTATGTGTGTGTATGTGTATGTGTATGTGTGTGTGTATGTGTGTGTGTGCGCGCATGTGCGTGCGTGAGTCTCGCCGAGTGGAGGGCAGTATGCACCTGGACAGAGGGTGATGCATCTTCTTCGCACAGCATGTTCAGTGGTGCAGCTGCTGCTGTCAACTGCTCTTTGTGTGAGAGGACCTTCTTGCGCCGCCAGGATCGTGCCAGGCACTGTGCACTGCAGAGCTTGCAGTACAACAACAGCGTGGATAATGTCAGTTTGATCGCTGTGGCAGTTGGTTCTTAAGGTGGCTCGTACCTAAAACGAAAACTAGTCCTTTAAGCATCCTTGTGCCCAGGTTTGGAGTACAAATATTTCGACTTTTTGCCCCCGCGGGTTCGAACCTCCCCGGTGAAAACTCTTCTTTTTCGGTAGTGGTTTTGGCAAGAGTAGCTGCTATAATCGACTCCAAAGGAATTTTCTTGTGGTAATAGAAACATGAAACTTGACAATAAATGCCAGGCACTTTTTCATCAATCAAAGGAACATCACCCCGCTTTCAGTCACGGCCCTTGACCGTCTTGAGCGAATCCAGCGCAAGGCGGCCAGAAATTGCCTCCGTCTCCCCCTCTACACTCCGCTGAATCACTGAACACTGCTCCATCGGCTCAAATGGCCGACAATGTTCTCTCGCCGCAAAGTGAAGCTCACCCTTCTTGCACACTCCATAAAATACCAATATGCCCCACAACACATACGCATGCTTAACACCCCCGCTCAAGTTGCGGCCCAGGATAGCCTTCGACACGCACGCACTTGGCACCTCCCACCCACCAGAACCGATCGCTGTACAAGTCCCTAGAATACTACAATGCCCTCCCTGCTAGCATTCGTGACGTCTCCTCCCGACCTGCTTTCGAACAAGAAATCTGCTCACAGCTGATTAACTCGATCTGCTCCTGCAGCGCTCACCCTCTCCCATACTTGTAAAATTCAAAGTGATGTAAATCACTTTCCAACTGTATAACCCACAGCCCCACCCACAGCATCTCACCTTCTGATAAACGTATCTCTTATTGGCGATGGTGCCATCGTGAGAATAAAGAATTCAATCCTTACCAAATTTAAAGTAAATTCATAAAGCAGGTCCAATTTTATTGATGGCAGTAACATGTAAATTTACCCCAAAATCGACAAATTGAAAGCACTTGACAGTATGCTTTTGGTTACTGTAGGGGGCTATACCTTTTCAGGCCCTTCCCATTACTATCTAAGTATACCTCTGCATAATTTCAATGAAATTTATTGTGCCATTATGTTTGACTTTAGTGTTTTGGTCCACCGAACACATCAGCCAATATTGGATTCAGTAAACCATGCTCCTAAGTATTTGATATTGATTCAATGGCAAATGTCTATTGTTCAGCATGAAGCACATAGCTGGCAGGACTTCTTGAAGAAATGAAGAAAGTCTATCGAGCCAATTTCGGGAAGCACACCGCGGAGTCCCGATGTTTGCATTCCAAACCGAATGAGATTGTTAGTGTGGGCAGCCAAGAGCCCTGAAAAGAAAGTCCAGCCACCCTGTTTGGCTTGGCTTGACTGCAGAAATCACCACTCAGATACCTGAAAAGAAAACTTCAGTAAAACCTGTAACTAAAGACCACCGTGACTAGCTACCAGCCTGGTACTACCGACCACTTGGCCGGGCACGAACGGTCTTACATTCAAAATGCACTGTGACTAGCGACTACCTGCTGAACGCGACCAGCGACCGCCTTTTCTTGTCCCAAACACGATTTTTACCCGTAACTAGCGACCGCGATGTAGAAATCAAATGTTGCTAAAAGCTCCTTCTTGAAATTTTGCTGATTTTCCATGGACCTGAAAGGAATCTTTCGGTACTACAGCTCAACAAATGAACGCAGGCCATTTTGACTGTCGGTTGGACTCCACTACACTGGTCAGAATTTCAAGCGCTGTCAAGAATAAACATGAAACCTCTTGGAGAGCGCATCGAAAGCGCTCTCTGCTCGATGTTACTACTCTGAGGAGAAACGAAGACTAAGCGGCTCTGTCACCCCAGTCATACAAACGAATCGACGATGGCGTCAAGGAATCCAGAAACAAAGCAGCACCGCATGGTCTTGATGCTGAAGGATCGTGTTCAAACAATCGAGAAGTCACAACAAGGATAGTCGGTACGATTGATCGCATGAACAAATTTGAAGCCCAGCGCAAAACGAAACTTCCACAGGGAACGTTTGACTCCTGGCTTCAGAAGTAGCAGCTGAATTTGATGTCTTGAAAAAAATTAATCTTCTCTCTCTTTTTGTCTCTCTCCATCTCTCCGTCTTTCTCTCCAAGTGTTGTTTGACCTGAAATAAGAATGGTATTGCGCAAGTCCTCGGGAATTGTATAAGCTGCATTTTGATATACATATCACTACAGAACAGCCGCTTGGTAGTTTCTTGTGATGTTGTCGTGGAGTAGCTTCCTGTATTCTTCTGGCGGCATCTTGTACAGGTTACGTGTTTTGTCTGCGGGTACGATTATGTCGTTGGAGCTGCTGATCGTTTGTAAGTCTTCCTTCATCTTGTCCTGTAGTTCGTTACGCACGCTTCGGTAAGTCACGCTGCCAATCATCTCATACATATCGTCTTCGAATTTCTTCATCTCGTCCACTTGCGGTGGGCATTTTCTTGTTTTGAATCCGAAGTTTTCTCCTTCTTGGTCGTCTTCCTTTCTGTCACCACGTAGGTAGAATATTGCTCTCCAGCGCATCCTCTTTATGAGTTGTTCCGTCCTTTCAATGAGACGTAGCGTGTACTCCTTGTGGCTGGGCAAGGGGATATTCTTCAGAGAGTATCCGAGGTTGACGCGCCTTGGGGTGTCCATTGTTGGGGTAGCACAGATAAGGTAAGAGTGCTCTACCACGGGAAGTGGGAGCTAATTCACCGAAGGATGTACCCAGAGTGCTTGATAGTGCTCAACACCACAAAGGCAGAGCATAATACACTACAGAACAACAAGGACAATCAAGGCTTGTTTGCTGCTACTTTAAGTTTCATGCTTACGCAATCATCAGGCAACATGAAGATCGGGTGCCGACCATGCCGGTATATATGCCAGGAGAGGGTGGTATAAAAAGCTGTGTGAGACTGTGGGGGCTAGCGCAGTAGCGGTGATGTTTTAGGCAGGGGGCTGTGTGCAGAGTGTGTGGTTGTTGAAGGCAGGGGCTAGCAGTGCAGTGTGAGCGCGAAGTGTGTGGCTGGTGTGGGCAGGAGGTGGTGAACAATGCGTGTGGATGATGTAGGCAGGAGGCTGTAGAGCTAGAAGTGTGATAATAGCGCAATGTAAATGGATATGTCTGGTGTGGGCAGGGTGTTATGAGCAAGGTGTGTGAACGTGAATGGTGTGGGCAGGAGGCTGTGGAGACATGTTTAGGTGACACCGTGGTTTTTTAGGAGATACTTGTTCTCGTGTCGGCACTTGGACACCATTTCGGAGCGCTTGTTGAGGCTGGACGGTGACCCTAGCGTGTTCAGGATGTGATACTTTTCTCTGGTACAGAGGGAACACCGCTTCGTGATGTTGGAGTATGCCCGGGCGCGATCTTTTATCCTCCATTCGACTTCGTATTGGGCGTTGGATTTCTTCAGCTTCCAGATGTAGTTGGAGAACTCAGTGCAGCTGGAGTACTTCTCGTATCTTGTTGTAGTCATGTGGTTGGCATGGCGTGACTTGAATGGTGGCGCCGACATACCGGTGTATTCCTTTTTGGTGGGGCCTGACGTTATGGATGCCACATATATCAGCTCCGTCGTTTGGCATTCACCGTTGAGTGGACAGGATGGCTTGTCTCGGCAGTTGCAGGGCTTTTCCGGTTTTTTCGTTTGCGGGCAGAGGACCGCTTTGTTGTGGCTTTTGATGCGTGCAGCCATATTTGGCATGCAACTGTAGCTTATCTTGATGGTGTTTTTTGTGAATATTTTTCCGAGCTTCGACTGCGGGGGGAAGTGCTTCTTAATGAGCGCGAGGAATCTTCCACCGATGTTTGTTTTCACATTACGGCTGTAGGGCGGGTTGTACCAAATCACCTTCCTCTTCCTTTTCTTCTTTTTGCTTGTTTTCTGTTTGAACTCTAGCGTGCTAGGGTGGCCGCTGGCGTTGAGGGCCTCCGCGTAGATGGGGATAGCATCACGGAACACCGCCTCTGAGCAGGAGATGCTTGCCAGTCGGTTGTTAATTCCAGCTGGGATGTTCTTAAGGACTTGCGGTGGGTGATTGGAGTTGACGTTGACATACAGTGGGGTGTCGTTGGGTTTTCGGTACGGTTGGTAGGTTCCTGTGGAGAGGCTCATTGTGATGTCTAGGTAGTTAACAGCGTTCAGGTTGACGTCTATCGTGATTTTTAGCCCCAGCGTCTTGAAGGTGTCGATGACAGCTTTCCGTACTTTGTCCGCACTGTGGCCAGTGGCGTTACGGAGGACGGCAAGCCCGTCGTCTCTGTAGAGGCCTACCGAGCCGCTACTGAAGTGCTGTTCGAGTTTACCCAGGAGGAAGGCGCCGACCAGCTCACATGCTTCAGCGCCATCGAAGGATCCCATGGTAACATCGAACAGCCCGTCTCTGTTTTTCTTTGCCCATATTCGGTTAGCTCCGAATAGCAGTGACTGCCTCGCGTGTAGTATTATGTCGGCGTCACAGTCAGGAATTGCCACGAACTGCTTAGCGTAGGCGAGGGCTAGGCTCAGCAAGTTTTCGGAAATAGATGGATAGAAATCCACTATATCGAACATCACGAACGTGTGGCTAGCCTTCTCCTCGATTGCCCTGAACCAGTTTATGACGGAGGATGTGTTTTTCCATAGGTTGATGTTGGGTTTGTCCCGCAGCGCTTCCACTATGCCGCTCAGTATCTTTCTGCTGATAACGCCTATCTCCGGCTT